TACGGGCACGACACTGAGGGTTGCGATCTGTTGCCGGTCATGAAAAAAGACAAAAAGGAAAAAAAAAAATGTCAGTATAGGGCTGGCTGGTTAGCTCAGTTGGTTAGAACACAGCCTTATAATACCAAGGTCAAGGATTCGGTTCCCTGTACCAGCCAACCACCAAAAAAAAAAAAAAAAAAGTCAAATGCAAATGGGCCTTTGTCTGTCTTGTATACAAGATGAATCTGTACAGTAATATGTAGTATTCCCTTTCATGATGTTTTGTTCCTTTTGGACAATATTAACATATCTTTGATGTCTGTGTACCTTCAACATGAAAAATTGTTTCTTGAATATTTGTGATTACTAGTTTAACTACATAGAACAATGAAATTATCATCCTAAAAATCATATTTTTAACCATGTTAAGCCTTTTATATTTAGCTCTTTGTTTATATTGAAAGTTCTCATACTATGTAATTTATTACACAGTATATAAAATTACACTGGTACTTTTTAAATGGCATTTATTTTATTTTTATTATTAAAATTTTGGATTTTCAAGTAACAAAGCAAAATTAATAAATATTGTTTTCATATTTCACTGTGGTTTCCCTGTCCATCTGTCTGTTCTAAATGCTAAATGATATAAAATTAAAATGAGTTTATACTTGCTATTAATTTTGTCATTAGTGCAGAATCATTTGAAATTAATTATTACTTCAAAGATAAAAGGTAGCATTTTAAAATAGAGGTTTTTGTCAAAATAGCTTCTTCCTCTGTTGGCATTCTTCATGTTTCTGTCCTGGAATTTTAGTTTTTGATTGTTCAGTGTAAAACTTCATGATGAGTTCAAATTTATCAGAATACATGTATGTATACCTTTGGAGTCCATTAAGATATTGCACATGTTCCTCTTTTGCCGCCTTTCACTGAGGTATATGATATGGCAGAACCTACAGATCCTCTGGGTTTTTTTTTTTGTTGTTGTTGTTAAGAATTAATGTTGTTGTTGTTGTTAAGAATTAAAATTCTAGTTATTCTGAATGGGTAGTGGAGGGGAATATATACTGTTCTGACATTAAGCTTAGTTTAAGTTTTTATATATTGTGTGTTTTATATTTTAAAAATTGAATAATACTATATAAACCATTCTGCAACCAATTCTTTTTTTTTTTAATTTAACAATACAGCATCAACATTTTTCTAAATTTCACAAATACTAGGTACAAAACTATTTATATAGAGAAATTTATCTTAGTTTATTCAGCATCTGCATAGTAGTTTATGAGTATTCCTGTATCTTTTAAAACCATATTATTCGGGCTGGCCCGGTGGCGCACTGGAGAGTGCGCCGCTTGGGAGCGCGGTGGCGCTCCCGCCGAGGGTTCGGATCCCATGTGAAGACCGGTTCCCGCTCACTGGCTGAGCCACGGTGTGGGCACAACACCGAGGGTTGCGATCCCGTTGCCGGTCAGTAAAAAAGACAAAAAGGAAAAAAATAAAATAAAATAAAATAAAAAAATAAATAAAACCATATTATTCTACTAATGATGGATGTCATGGAAGTAATTGACAGTTCTGATATCATTGTAGGATGAACAACAGGCCTCTGAGTCAAAGATCCTTTTGCATATTATGTATTACAGATCCAGATGAACTTTTTGTACTGTATTGGGGAGGGCGTGGGGAACTTCCATTCAGAACACTTTCTCTTTGTTTTGGGTGAACAGGAAAATTTTAAAAAGTGATTGTGACAAAACAAATTCTGTGATTCACTGTTAGTTAAAATCTAGTGGTTTACCTACCCCCTCTCCCTGCTTTCTACTTTTTGAACAAGGACTTGTTTGATAAAATAAAAATGAGGAGCATTTGTCTTCTTTTCCTTTTAGCTTGTTTCTCTACCCAAATTTGGAAGATTTTCTTCACTATTAAATCCCTCACATGGCTGTTGTTTAGGTTTAAAACAGTTGAAATATACACTGAAGCAATTCTGTAATCAACTGTTTTTCTTCTTTTTTTTTTTTTTCGGTGGTGTCTGGCTGATAAAGGGATCCGAATCCATGACCTTGGTATTATCAGCAACACACTCTAACCAACTGAGCTATTGGGCCAGCCCTTTTTTATTCTCTTAAAAACAATGTGTTGAGTGTATTTTCATTGTTAACAGTGCAGCCTACCACTGGTATATTTGAGGCGTAAAAGAAAGTGAGAGCAAATAATGTTACTAGAACATCTTTGATGATTTAGTTGTCTAAATTTTTTTAAAGAAAATGAGCAGTATTTCTTACTGTATTTGTGAAATTCAGTAAATATTTGTATTCATAGGCCTACCTAGTTAAACTACATATGTTTCTATTACCACACATCATAAAATATTGCTATTAAATGCATCTAGGCAAACATATGCAGGTACTTCAAAAAGTTCATGGAAAAATAGAATTAAAAGATAATACAAGTCTTTCCACAAACTTTTTGAAGTACCCTGGTACAGGAATGAACTTATGATAGTTTACCCTATTGTAAACTGTAGGGATATTAGGAAAGTGAAGAGGAAGAATTTGCTTTTCTGTTTTTAGACAACATTTAGACTGATATTAACCTATCTAAATAGAAGTTGAGGGCTGGCCCGTGGCTCACTTGGGAGAGTGGTACTGATAACACCAAGGCCACGGATTCAGATCCCTATATAGGGATGGCCAGTTAGCTCACTTGGAAGAGTGTGGTGCTGACAACACCAAGTCAAGGGTTAAGATCCCCTTACTGGTCATCTTATATATATATATATAAGTTGTATCATGAAAGCCAATGATATAATCAGAGTAATTTAAAAGCTTATGTATCATATAATTATATAATGAAAAGAATGTATCAATATTATTAAATAATAAAAGCTAAAAACATTATTATTCACCTAGGGTTGTTAGATAATTGTTGAACACATGAAGTCACAAACATTTAGCTATATATTTGTCTGACAGGAAAAAATATATTGACTTCTGTATGTATATGTGATTTTTGGTACACATTGACATGGCGATAATGTTGCTTTGCTCAATTTATAAAAGAAATGTTAAATTGTATTTTGGAGAAATGTAATGTAGATGTTCATTCTTCATATAAAGTTCCTTTAAATCTCTAAGAAGTCTGTTATTGTTGCCAGATGTTTCTAAGGTCTTAGAAAATTATTAGGATGAAAGAGTATAATCTGGAGAGTCTGCTTTTTGGTTTCATAATTAGTAAGTATTCCATTTCACCTACCCACGGACTTGTGTGGTTTTCCATACAAACCCCTGAAGCAGAAATATTTTAAGTTATTTCCCAGATCTTATAGGGGAAAGATGATTATTGAAGATAAGTTACCTTGTTACCATTGACTGCTTGAACAGAATTACAAATGGTATTTGTATAAGTTTTGTCACTTTTAGATTTATGCTAACTGGCCTGCTTTTCAGATGAACACATAGCATCTACTATAAATTATTGGTTTGCTTTCAGAAACATGACCTATGTAAGTTTAATAAACCTGATTTTATTCAAATGCTGTGAAAAATGAGGACATCTTTTTTTATATCTATGTATGATATTCAGTTTATTTTTTTAAACTAACTCCTGCCTTTATTATTATTATTATTATCATTATTATTTTTACATTCTAAGATGTTGCTGCAGAGCATTTAGGGGGGAGGTCGAGGGGGGAGGAGGGAGAAGGATAGGGTGAGAGGAAGGGGTTGGGGCATGGTCGAGGCCTGTGGCACCCCCTTCATTCTGGCAGGGGAGCCCAGGGGGCTTCCAGTGGTGGCTTTGTCATGGCTGGGCTAAATGCTGACTTTATGGGGGCATGGCTGAGGCCCTCAGTCCCCCAGCCCCCCGCCCTGGGATTCCAGGGTGCTTCTGGCTGCCTCTTGGTAGTTGTTGCTGGGCTAGATGAGGACTTTGCGGGGGGAATGAGGACATCTTAACATGAGATCTTTTTGAATGTCTCTCTTTCAGATGGGCCAACTTACTCTGGAAGACTATCAGATCTGGAGTGTGAAAAATGTTCTTGCCAATGAATTTTTGAATCTCCTCTTCCAGGTATGGTTAAGATAAATGACAGTTACAGAGGGTAGTACCACCAGTAGTTCTACATCTTTTCCATCATAGAAAGATAGAGTTATCGCATCTGGGCTACAAAATCATGTATTATAAAAGTGCTGAAGCTTCTTAAAATAGTGACGTGGGAAGTAGGAAAGCAGAATGTAGACGATGTGTTTATTCATCTATTATAACTCATAATAGAACAGCATGTAGATATATAGAGAATAAATTACAAAAGCCATGATAATTTGCTATTTTTCTTCATTGTTGTCTTTTTTAACAAGACCTCACTAAAAAGTAAGGCATTGTGAACAAAAAGATGGATCATAAGTAGGTAACTGTATTAGTCTGTTTTTGTTGCTTATAACAAGTACACTGAACTGGGTATTTGATAAAGAAAAACAAAATTTATTGTGTACAGTTTCTGAGGCTGGGAAGTCCAAAGTCCTTCTGGTGGTGGCAACAATGACCCAGGGGTCTCACATTGCGAGATGGTGGAAGCAGAGAGAGTAAGAGAGAAAGACAGACTCTCCTCTTCTTCTAAAGCCCTCAGAACCATGCCCCTGACCACCATCTTTAATCCATTCACTATGGCACGGTCCTACAATCCAATCACCTCTTCAAGGCCCCACCTATCAATTACCATAATAAGATTTCCCACCCTCTTAACAGTCCCAGTGGGGGCTAAGTTTCCAATACATAAAACTTGGGGACACAATTCAAACTTCAGGGAGTTTTGGGGGGACACAATTCAATCTAGTACAGTAACTATAATTTTTTTTTTTTTTTGTCTCTTTTTTCGTGTCCGGCAACGGATCGCAACCCTCAGTGTCGCACCCGTACCGGACCAGGACTGGCAACGGGATCGCAACCCTCGGGTTTGCGCCCGCACCTCGCTCAGCCAGTGAGCGGGAACTGGTCTGTATGTGGGATCCGAACCCTCGGTGGGAGCGCCACCACGCTCCTAAGCGGCGCTCTGTAGCAGTGCGCCACCAGGCCGGCCCCAGTAACTATAAATTTTTCAAAGTATACAGTCTCTCTAGTCATGAGATCATCTTAGCTACAAGGCTATTTGTTAAGTTTTATTCTTTAGAAGGTCTGAGAAAGATTGGCAAGAGAAGGAAGGAAGGAAACTTACCAAGAATGAACATTAAGTCATAAATCTGGTGAGATTTTAACTGTTTCACTAGTTAAACTAGTTCTCTTGCTCTGATTTTTAAATGTATTTTATATTTTCCCATTTTCATAGTTCTTTATAAATATTTAAGTTGATTTTATTTTAGTTTCTTCTTATTTTGTTTTTCTTTCCTTGTAAAATTACCCCTGTGAAGGTCAGAATGGTTTGGTTTGTTTATATCTATTATGCTCTTCCATTTTAGATAAAGAATAACTTACTTGTCTGTGACACAGCTGTATTGGAATAAATGGAAATTGATCATTTCCTGACAGCTAATGACTAATTGTCATCTATTTAAAATACATACAACTTGATAAGCCTGTAATATCCCCTTGAATCAATCGCTTTCCTATCAGCTATAATTTTCGGCAGGAATTTAAGTTGATGGATTTATAAAATACATATGAAAATAATATAGATCACCACTGTAAACAGAATTGACTTGCTTAATAACGTGAACACTGGTCAACTGTTTTTATCTCATTTAAAATAATATCCTTGGGCCAGCCCGGTGGCGCACTGCTACAGTGCTCCGCTTGGGAGTGCAGTGGCGCTCCTGCCGAGGGTTCGGATCCCACGTACAGACCGGTTCCCGCTCACTGGCTGAGCGAGGTGCGGGAGCAACACCAAGGGTTGCGATCCCGTTGCCGGTCCCAGTCCGGTACGGGCGCAACACTGAGTGTTGCGATCCGTTGCCGGGACACGAAAAAAGACAGAAAGGGGAAAAAATAAATAAATAAATAAATAAATAAAATAAAATAAAATAAAATAATATCCTCAGGGGCCGGCCTGTGGCTCACTCGGGAGAGTGCGGTGCTGATAACACCAAGGCCCCGGGTTCAGATCCTTTAAAATAAAAAGGCCTGTGGCTCACTCGGGAGAGTGCGGTGCTGATAACACCAAGGCCCCGGGTTCGGATCCTTTAAAATAAAAAAAATAAAATAAAATAAAATAAAATAATATCCTCAGTATTAGGTCTGTAGGCTCTTTTACTGTTGTGACTTGGAACTGCTTTATCTTATATTCGATATATAAACATTTTCATCACATAAATTTGTGTCTGAATCATCTTTTAGCTCTCACATAGTATAGCATTTTAAATTTTGGTATTGCCTTTCTTATTTCCTCATTATTATCAGAGACTTATAGTGGCACTATTTTTCTATGACTCTAACTTATAGACAGGCATATACTTGAGATTTGCTTATGTGTGTATATATTTCCAACATTTTATTATGAAATTGTGAAAGATTTTTTTCTCTAAACATCCATAACCTACCTATCCACCATCTAAATTTTATCATTATATTTTACTTTACTTGCTTTATCCCACATTCAGATATGCTTTTAAAATTATATATTCAATTAATATATGAGTAAGCAGACAGTTATGCTAAGTTGTTTTATTTTCTATCTGTTTTAAAATTGGTAAAGTTAGCTTATAAATTTAGCGATACAGTATTGAATTATGCTTTTATTTTGTGTGCCAAGATCTCACCCTTGGCTGAGGTTTTGGGTATTTAATATATAGCATATGAAAGTGTCAATAGAATTATTCTGAAAACTGTTCCTGAGGTAATAACTTATTTTCATTCCTTTTTATACGGGAAGCATGCCAAACATAATCAGTCTTCTGTCTTGTACATTTGTCAAAAAATATCAAGTGTTAAAGAGTATAGTAGGCAGATTAATGACCACTCAAATATCCATGCCCTAATCTCCAGAACCTGTGAACATGTTATCCTCCACGTCAAAAGGGACTTTGAAGATGTGTCAGGTTTAGGATTCAGAGGTGGGGAGATTAGCCTGGATTGTTCAGATGGGCCCCATGTAATCACATACATCTTAAAAGTGGTGAACGTTTCCCAGCTGTAGTGAGAGAGAGAGAGAGAACATTAGAACGGACAGAGATGCAACGTTGCTGACTTTGAAGGAAGGGGCTATCAGCAAAAGAATGTTGGTGGCTACTAGAAGCTGGAAAAGGCAAAGAAATGTTTTTATTAGAGCCTCTAGAAAAGAATGCAGCCCTACTTATATCTTGATTTTAGCTTAGTGAGGCTTGTGCCAGACTTTTGACATACAGGATCTAAGATAATAAATTTGAATTGTTTAAGCCACTAAAGTTGTGGTAATTTGTTATAGCAGCAACAGAAAACCAATACAGAGGGGATCATCCATATTTATATAAGGCTCAATACTGTAAAAATTTCATTTCCCCTTAAATTGATTTGTAGATTTGATGCACTTACAATTATAGTCCCAAAAGTTTTATTGTTGTCATTTTTTTGGTTTTTTGTTCTTGTTTTTTTTAATGTGTGTAACTTGACAAGTTGATTCTAAATGCATTGAGAGTACAGAGGGCCAAAAATAGCCAGTTAGAGAGGACTTGTATTACCAGATATCAAAACTTATTATAAAATAGCAGTAATTAAGACAATTTGGTATTTGCATAAAATTAGATAAATAGATGAATGGAACAGTCATGAATCCTTAAATAGACCTACACACATGTGGTTACTTGATTTATAACAAAGACAACATTGCAGTGCAGAAGAGAAGAGATGGTTTTTTTTTTTTTTTTTGTCTTTTTTTCGTGTCCGGCAACGGATCACAACCCTCAGTGTTGCGCCCGTACCGGACCGGGACTGGCAACAGGATCGCAACCCTCGGTGTCGCGCCCGCA